AGCTAGCGGCACAGCTGCTGGCTTGCCAATTTACTAGTAGAGAGAGAGAGAGAGAGAGAGAGAGAGAGCAAAAGCTGTTCTGGATTATTACATCATCATTCTGGTTTTTGATATCGATCCAGAGTGGCACCATGTTCATGCAGTTTCCACAATTGCTCCTAGGCATGCTCTTACATTGACTTGAACCCAACCGGCTCCTTTGTTTTCTGAGGAGCCTAAGAGCAATGAAGCAATTGGGAAGACTTCTGGAATGCAGGTTTTGGAAGACTCACAGTCAATCTAAATAAAAGAACATAAAGGACTGGTTATAATGAATATTCTTTAATTTTTATTGTGAATTAATATTGGTGTTTTTACGATTTTGCTGTGTGATGCCCCGATAGCTTTATTAAAGTATGGAAGTAATAATAATAATAATAATAATAATAATAATTGCTCTCACTCTTATTTCTTCACCTTTGACCTTCCAGAGATACATAGATAAAGTCTATAGGACCTATACCTGGGCTCCTATCAAAAGCACAAACTACAGGTAAGGAGCTAACAAGAAGCAGCATGGAGTAATAGCTTCCCTCGTCGTCTTCAGCTGAACCTCCACCATGAATGGTGATCCGAAAGAGTGCTTCAGAATCTCAAGAGAGCTATTTAGAAGGCAGTAGGGATCTCTGCCTCCAACAGTGGAGGTAGAATATAGCCATTGTGGCTAGTGGCTGATGTAGATCCAATGGATCTGGCTGGCATCTCTTCATCAGCACCAGGATGCTGCTCAGGATGGTGTCTAGACAGATACAGATACAGTTGGTTGGTTGGTTGGTTGGTTGCATTTATATCCCACCTTTCCTCCAAGGAGCTCAAGGTGGCATCCATCGTTCTCCTCCTTCCCCATTTTATCTTCACAACAAGCCTGAGCCAGTAATGATGGGTTGTTCCTTAGCTGTCCGATCCATGGCTGCAACACCTGTAATATCAAGAATCTTAATTTACATCTTAACTTTCATTATCCACACCTAAAAATAGTAAGATTTGTAAAGAAATTATTTGCAGAGGGGGGTACACTTTCTCAGCCTGTATGACACATACAGCTGTCACATTTTACAGCTTTACTATTCAACTAGGAAAAACAAAGTGAATATAGTCAGCTTTTTTAAAATGTAAGGTCTGCTTTTTCTCTTCTTGCCATTTGATTGTGCTTCTCATAATCCTATGTGATGCTTACATTTGTGACAAAAACCCAGCAGTTGGCAATAATATCCGTTATTAAGCTGGTATAAAGTTTTAGGCAAAGGAGCTTTATTCAAAGTGGAGTCATAGTGGGGCAATGATATAATGGCTTTCTGAATAATTTTGAAGAGTTACTCCCACATGTAAAAAGATCCATGAGGCTGGATGGATAGATAAATAGATAACTAGGATTTAGTAGCAAATTGCCTTATAATATTTTCCATACCCCTCATTCATTAATAAACTCTAGTGCTGGCAGAGTAGAATACAACACACGATTATCAGAACCTTTCCAAAACCAATGGGGTGCAAACAATTGGGCAAAAATAACTATTCAGTGACAGTAAGTGAATAATGGCAGTCCTGAGAAGAAGTACTGCAGAATCCTTATCTTGATGGATCCATTGAAAAGGTTTGAGCATCTTTGTTCTTGAGGAGCTGTGCATTGCACTGCACTGTATGCACACCCATTGTTATAAGATGTGTGGAAATGCAATATGGAGGAGGGTAAAATGCAGCTGTTTCTAATGCACAGTGCCCTTCTCAGTTAATAATAATGCGTTTTAAAAGAAACATGCTTATTTTTGTGCATTTAAATTGTGACAAAAATGAGAGAGCTGCCCTACTTTAATGGTAGCTCGAGGCATTGTTTTGAGTACTGAAGCCTGAAAGTGTTTGGTGAGGCTGCCACCTAGTGCACAGTTGTTTGTTGCAAATACACATATTCCCCAGGGATTTCCTAGTGCAGTTGATGTTGACATTATAAAGCGCAATAACTGCTTGGCCTATTTGAGACAGAAGAACCTGTTCAGCCCAGCTACATAATTAAGGGTCCTTCAGGACTTCTTATCCTAGAGTTGCTCAAAGACTCCCACACTCCCTTCAGCCCCAGCCATCATGCCCAATGGGCAGCGATGATGAGTGCTTGTTACAGGTAGGTAGCAACTAAGTTTGTTTTTGGTATGAGCTTTCGTGTGCATCTGAAGAAGAAGTTGGCTCATGCCAATAACATACTTAGTTGGTCTCTAAGGTGCTACTGGAAGAATTTTTTTTATTTTGTTTCAATCATGAGTGTTGTCGTTCAAAAACACATGGAGGGCACCAGATTGGGGAAAGCTGCCCTGAAGAATAGATGTACAGAATTAGAAATGTGCCTTGTTTGTTGTGCATCTCCATATATATTTTTAATAACTGTTGCTAGTCTCAGGGCGGGTTCTGTACCTGCTATGGCCGATGGACCCCATTACGAGGAAGTGCTTGTAAGCCCTGGCTCCTTGGAAACCCCAGACAGAAGTCAATGCCTGTTCTCATCTCCTCTAATCTGTGTTATTATCTCTCTGGCTCCACTGCACCCCCATGCCTCAGTTTGTGCCGCAAATAAAGGTCCAGTTTATCCACCCCCTGAGAAGGTGATAGTTAAAATACACTATGCTCCATTCCTGACAGACCCAATGGTCATCCTGTGTCAATAGCTCACTAAAGTACTATACTGGGTGGTCAATATATTACATCCCTGCTCTTGTTTTTGCCCATGTCTTCAGCCATCAATTGCTAGCAACTGTACAAACCATTTTGTGCCTAAATATCACAGCAATTTCAGAAACACTATTTTTCTCTCTCTCCCCTTTACCAGCCTTGGTTTGGTCTTGCCGCACTACAACACGTATTACATCCAAGCTATTCTCAACGACCAGATTCTCCAGGTGAAGTGTAAGTAGATACTTCCCGTTTGCTGTTGGCCTTTCGCGTACTCTGTGACCCTGAACCCACCAGCTAGCCTAAGGATGGCTAATAAGAGAAAACAAAGCGCCAGAGTCACTTTTTACAACGTTTATCAAATGAAAAATAAGAGCAACCCTACACATAGAAGAAGAGGAGGTTTCGTTTTATTCCTGGAAGAATAACGCAGGCTTCCTGGGGATGTGAAGATTTCCCGTGACACTTTGCATAAAACAAACTAAAACCTTTAAAAAACATCCAGGGGAGATGAGGTTGAGTTGCTGCTTTAAATGCTTTTTATGTACCAGGTGATAACTCTGTAGCAGCCAGTTAATTTGAAAGCTGGGAAAGTTTGCATGTTTTGTTTTGTTTGTTTCAAGCCATTATTATTTTTATTTAAATTTTGCATTTATTTTTTCCTAACTAATTTACAATTAATCTGTGTACTTGTGTGTTAGCCTACCCTTGTGTGTGATCCTGGGCCCTACTCTCTCATCGCAGGGTGGGATGGACTTCCAAGGGCGTCTCTAACATCCTGCTCTGAGTGATTCTGGCTGTGTCTCTTTTTCTTCCTGTGTTTATCCCTCTGTCTCTGTAATCTCTCTCCTTTCTTATCTTTTTCTCTCTTTCTTTTCCTTTACCTTCTGTAAGTCCCATACTACACGCACGCATGCACGCACACACACTGCATTACTTGTAGTTGCTCAAAATTTCATTCCTAAAGGAGTTCCTTAGCACTTGAATAGCAGATTTTATGTCAAATAGTGCCAATATCTTCCAAAGTGCTTCACATGATAGCTCTGATCTGGTTATCAACATGTTAGCTTTTATTTAAATAAAGTGTAACCCATCTTCAAAAAAGACATTGAGGCTGTGGTTCTGGGTGCACTTACCTAAGAATAAGTCCCATTGAACTCAGTGAGGTTTACTTCTGCATAGTATTGCACTGTAAAACATTTTTTTAAATCCATAGGTGGTTTTCAAATAAGTTTTACTCAGAGTAGAACCACTGAAATTGATGAACATGAGTAATCTAGGTCACTGGGTCTAACAGAGTAAAACGTACTCCTATGTTGGCTGTATTTGTCTCTGAAGGAGATTCAACAGAGGGATCATCCTAGATTCTGGACTTTACACTCATGTTAAACTCAAAACATGGACTGAAAGTTAATTCAACAATTCATGATAGTCTTCCTGAATAATGTTGTATATTCTTTTAATATTTCTTTCTTACTTTCCATCCACATAAAAAAGCTACAGTTTTAGGGGAAAATATCCTAGCAATCCTTTTTCCTCGTATGATAGATATTAAAACATAGAACATTTCTAAGTGATAGGTACTTTCAAATAAATAAATGCTCCCATATATTTTCTTTGGTGGTACAGTACCATGAGAGGACAGTACCAGCATGTATGAATCAAATAAGGTTCCCTGCATGTTCTAATCAGTCATTTTCTTCCTGCCTGCTCATGCCTCCATGAGTATACTATATGATCTCAGCGAGACAGCATCTCCCACAAACACCTAGAACAGAGGATGCCTTTTCTCCCTGGTGGTTCCTTGCAAGATCCTGCTCTGGCCACTGTGTTCTGGGTTTTATGTCCAGAAGTTACATCATCTCCTTCAGAGAAGGGCTGCTGTACACTGTGCAGTAAGAGCTTCAGAACTTGCATTCTAAATGGCACAGTGGTTGTTCAGTCCCTGAAATCCACTGTTGTCTGATTCAAGCTCAGTAATGAAACGGGAGAGAAAGGATCTGTCAATATCACAACCAGACCAGGATGGTGGCTCACAGAATTATTCTGCAGCATTGGTGCCCAGGGCTTAATGTGCAGCTTTATGCACTTTTATGTTTCCGTTCTCAACAGCACTGGTTAAGGCACAATCCCACCTCATCTGCGGCAGCCTAGAGTAGGTACTCTAGGGAGTAGGCTCCCTTAGAAAGGTAGGACTCTGCTTTACACCAAGTTAGACCGTTTGTCCATCTGACTCAGTACTGTTGACACTGGCTGGCAGTGGCTCTCTGCGGTCTTGGACAGTGGTGTTTCCCAGCCCTATCTGCAGGTGCCAGGGGTTAAACCTGGAGCCTTTCACTTCCAAGGCATGCACTCTACCACTGAGACACAGCCGCTCCGCTGAATGTTGTGTTGAGTTTAATATACAGATGCGGCGACATTTCCCACAATCGCTATCACCTTTGGTCCTTCCAGAACCACTGCTAGTGGCTACTCCTGCTGCACCACCTCATCAGAAGGTCACCCACACCTTCTTATCAAGTTTTCCATTTCTTTTTAAAGTGGTCATATAGTTTCCCTCCATGTAGCATAATTTGAGGAGGAAGGGCGAGGCTCAGTCTTTTTGGTTGTGTTTGCAAAAGAAAATTAAGAAATAATAATAATAGGAAAAGGACCCCTGGATGGTTAAGTCCGGTCAAATTCGACTATGGGGTACGGTGCCCATCTCGCTTCAGGCCGAGGGAGCCACCGTTTGTCCACAGACAGCTTTCTGGGTCATGTGGCCAGCATGATTAAACCTCTTCTGGCACAACAGAGCACCGTGACAAGTGCCATTTACCTTCCTGCTGCAGTGGTACATTTTTATCTACTTGCACTGATGTGCTTTCGAACTGCTAGGTTGGCAGAAGCTGGGACAGAGCAACGGGAGCTCACCCCATTGTGGAGATTCAAACCACCAACCTTACGATCAGCAAGTTCAAGAGGCTCAATGGTTTAGACCACAGCGCCATCAATAGTAATAATAATAATAATAATAATAATAATAATAGCCAGACCTTCTCTCCACAAGTGGTCTGTTTCCAATGTTCCTCCACCTTTAAGGTTCTCTTCCTGAAGACAGTTGCACCCACACACTTCACAAACAGACCCAGGCTCACCACACCCTCGCCCTCTCTTTTGTCCCTTTGTTTCTTTTCCTTTTCCCTCTCTCTTTCTCTCTCTCTCTGTATGTATCCTTTGTTAATCTTGAATTTTGCATGGTCTGCTAACTCAGTAAGAACATTTCTATATCAAGACTGTTGCAAACTGTTTGCTACTGAATTTCATTTTTTCTGTTGGTTATATAATATATATCTATTTATCTAGTTATATCTATACATTTTTTATTATTTTATTACTGTGGCCTTTTTATTGGTACTTTTATTATTCTTTTTTTAATTTTTGGTTTCTTTTTCATGTCGTTTTTTGCAAGAGGTTTCCTTTCGGTATGATTATGATACACAATATTTTTATTCAAACAGCCATTGAATAAAATATTGTTTGTACCCCTTCCCCTTTCCACCCAACCCCCCTTTTTTGTTTTCTGTTTTTTGTTTGTTTTTTCTTGCTTTCTCTCTCTGATGGATTCACACAGTACCAAGCAAATTGAAGGGCAAGTATTTTCAGTCTTAGACCACTCCCCTTCCACCACCCCCTTCTCCTCACCCGTGTCCAGTACCCCCACCCGTCACTCCAAACCTTCACCGTTCCCCCTCACCACTTACCCGGCCTGCTTGCCCATTACCTTGCCCGTTTGCCACGCCTAACCTTGCAAACCACCACCAAACTGTTCCTCCCTGTCTCCTGCTCCTCCACTTCCTCCCCTCAAACTCGTTCACCCTTTTTTTGAAAGCAACATGTCTTGCTATGTTCATAATAGCTTCACCACTACTGATCTCCCCACTCCTTCCCTGTGCATTGCTCAGAGACTCAATCCGTTTAAGACGAGCCAACTTCATATGGAATTGTTATGTTTGAATTCAATAAGGTTTTTTGTAGCTAGTTTTAATATCCTGCTCTTCTTTCTCCCTGCAAAAATGCCTCCCTCACGCCCTTCCTTCCTTTCTCCTCTCCTGTCTCACGCCTACCCTACAAATCTTCTTCCCCTATCCTTGTCCCTGTGCTTTCCTTCCTCTTGAAGACAACTCAACCTGAATGGGACAGGGCTGTGCAGAGACCTTCAGACTGAGAAGTGTTTGGAAATGGAGTCCAATATCACTTCCGCAAGAAAATATTTAGGCTTCTTGAGTACTGAAACAGCAGGGAAAATAGAAATCTCAGACAGGTTCACAGCGTATGTAGGGATGGAGGAGGACTTATTTTGGTCTGCATTTCCAAGCAAACAGACCTAATTCACACCTCCTGGATGAACACACAGATCAGGACATCAGAGTCCGTAGAATTTTGCAGGACAGGTCTCAACTATAAAAAAAATGCACCAGAATTCATTAAAATAAATACTTTAGGATAAAATGCATTTAGAAATGTGTGCCTTAAGATAAATAGGGGTTTAAAAAATGTATTTTGTGATCAAATACTATTTAAGAACATACTTGAACACTTATTTAAACACCAATTTTCATACAAACCTTAAAAAATTCACAGATGAATTCACAAATGGGCTGGGCTGGACTAATGAGTAAAGGAATGTGAAATTGTCGTGGGCACATAAATAGACTTATCTGTCCATACCCTAGCTACATGCAGATCAAAGTTGTTTCCCCAAAAGACATAACCCTCGCAAGTTGCAGCCAGCAACAATACTTCATTAACAATAACTGTCCCTTAGGTTCCCATAGATAAAAGGTACAGCGTGAAGATAATTTACTATATTTGATGTGGTAAATTTCTCACAAGGGTCTTGATTCAGCACCTTCAGAATCCAGTTGCAGTCTATCTGGCACCTTAGGCTAAAACTGTTTTGCATCCTGTTTTGCATTTTGGGGGTTATAGATAGAGCCTGGGTCTCCATCAATTTCTGTTTCCTCCTTCTCTTGTGGGTCAAGTCCTGAGAATTGCAGAGCAGTTGCACTTCACTTTGAACACAAAATAGGATCTGCTGGTCATCTCCCCCAATTATGAACATGAATATGTGTACATGGGACATTAAGAATACCAGGAGACCTTTCTGGGTCTTGGAAGCTTTCTACGATAAAATTCCAAGGCCACTGTCTTGTAGGCCACCTACACTGAGGCAGACCCTTTAGAATGCGGATGCCACTGTTATCAGGGTTCTGTATTGCTAAATAATGAGCTCAGTGAAGATGGGGAACCTGTGGCCCTCCAGATGCTTTGGAACTACAACATCCATTTATCCCTGACCATGGGCTCTGCTGGCTGTTGGAGTCCAGCAACATCTGGAGAGCACCATGTTCCCCATCCCTGGTGTAGAGGAATGTGCAACCTCAGCATCCACTGCAGCATTTCATCCAGCTATGGCATGAGCAGAAGAAGCAAAGAGTTATTAAAGACTGCTCCGTAGCAAAAGCAAAATATTGACAATGAGGAACAAAGGCATCCTAGAGCACTCCTTATGTTATGGTCTAAGGCTGTTTGCACATTATCAGTTTAAAATGCAGCAAGGTCTCTCTTTTCCCCTTTTTGCTACATTTCAATTTGCATTTGCATGTCAGTGCAGTTGGATGCTTTTCCAGGTCACCCACTGCCTGTCCACATCAGTGGGCATGGATGTCTTCATATGGCTTACGTTTTCCAATTGGACTGAAGCTGGTTTGGGAGAAAACACATCCAAATGCAGTGATTCTGAAGAAATGGCAGGATAGATGTGGATCATGGCTAATGCCATGGGTACACAGCTTCATAAATCAGTGGTGGAAGTGCCCTGGGTGCAGAGTAAACGGAAGTGTGTACACAGCCCGGGTTACATGAAAGCCATGATTGGAACTCTGATTTTGGCAAGGGCAAAGCTGAAACAGGGACCAACTATACTGTCAGTTATTCCCAGGGTTAAAGGTCCTTTAACGTGGCCTGAGTTGGCAAAGTCTGTGCGGTGAAGAGTTTACCATTCACACAAAAGCAAAATGAATTGAATTTAGAGAGCTATCTTCATGCATATGCTGCCCTCTGATCTTCTCAGTCATCCTTGTCACTACCCAAGAATACATGCATTCTTACAACCTGGACCAGTGGATCCAGAAACAGAGATGTGCCAGTAAATAGAATTTGGGGGGTGGGGGGTTAAGCATACTGACTATTTCATCCATTTACGTTTTATGCCTTAAGGTGCCTAGTAGTTGGGAAGGTGTGTGCAGATAGACATAAAATAAGTGTTTGCTGTAAACACAGAGTGGAAGGAAGAGACACCGTTCATGTATGGGTAGCTGGCACATTGTGGCACCAAAGAGTTATCAGCAGGGACCTGACCTCAAGCACTAAGGTTCTGTCTGTCGTCATCAGCCCTGTTCTATCAGCATTGAGCTGCCTGTTCCCGGTGACCCTGTAATGGCAATGCTGATGGAATAATTACTTAGTGTTTTTGTATTCCTTTCCTCTTCCTCCTTTCATTGGCTTGTATCCAGACCCTGCCTTTTAGTCCTGTTCGAAAATAGCAGTCCAACCTATGGCTGTGCTGCCCTGACAAAGGGCCACGTATGTCTTGTAATGCATTGTGGGAGATATTGGTGGGGGAAGGAGAGGCGTTTTAGTGGTCTCACAATCAATGTCTTGATATGGATATGCTTGAACGGACAATTTGCTGCTAAGACAAATGCATAACTGCGGTAAGGTTGCTTGGACGGTGATTAAAAGTGAGTGGGTGTCCTTCAGAGGAAAGCCTGCAACAGCTATCCCTCATTTTGTTTCAGCCACAAGAGTGGGCTATGTAGTCAAACCAAAAGATGTTCAGATTGCTGAATGAAGAGCTAAAATACTATGATGCTACAGGCTAGGGAGAATATACAAAAATGAGCAATAAATTTGACTGCTACTGTTCCTTCCATAGAACTAAGCAAAAATCCTATAAGCTTCTTTAGGGTGACCAGTGTGCTTCATCTGTATCACCTTCTGGTTAAAATGTTGCTGAATTGATAAGATCCCCCATTGCTCTAATCGTCAAAGCAGAGCACTATAAATCTCATTCACTTTCTTGGGGTCTCCAGTAGCGAACACTGTTGAAGTGCAGAATGCTAGGAGGAGAAAGTCAAAGGAATTCATATATGAAATCGTTTTCCCTAGAGACATTAACATTCAGTTGTACAGATTTATTGGAGGCAGTCCTCTAAATATTCCTTCCCCCGCCCTTAAGAATAAAAATAGCAAAATAATTTGGGGGGGGGGGGATTAAGTGGATTTTTATATTAGAGATATTGCATATAATTTGCAGCACAGTTAAATAATG